TATATATATATATATATATATATATATATATATATATATATATAACAGCTTTTGTTTTGCAGTATTGACAATATTTTGTTCACATTTTAATAATTCTGAAAATGAGCATACATCTGTTGTTGCAACCCTGACTTTTTTGGATGACATGGTATAAAGATATAAAAAAAGATTAGCCTATTGAAATCCCAAATGTGTCAGTAAACCAGAAAAGGCCGCCCTAGTTGCTTTGTATTCGAGAAGAATAATTACATGATTGCTATCACTGCAGGCAAAAGACACAGTTTTTGTTCTCCGAAACAGGACAACATCTCAAATGAGAAAAGTTGAATTGCATTAGTAAGGACCATTGATATTCTGACGGTCCTGTCTGAATATCAATCCCCTTGAGAGGAGAGAAAACGTCCCTGGTGAGACGAAGGAAAAAAAGAAACAAAAGCCGGAAAATGCTCAAGTGAATCATCTTTTAGTCATTCTGCTTGTCTTTGGCTCTTTGTGAATTTTTTTGACTCAAGTTGAGCGCCACTCTTCACTGACACAAAAAAAGACACGTAGTTATGCATTGGGAAGGATTTGTTGACATTCCCAAATATTATGCCAGTGCAGCACTTTTCACTTCATTTGTGCTCTTACCCGTCAAAGAATATCTCACTGTGTGGAATATGGATCACTGACTATAAAAAGCTCTCACCCAAAAGAAGGGGTTGAGAACAAAAGTAATAAATAAACATGAGACAGATTCCCTCCCAGTTGATATTAAAGTGGTTTACATTTGCACATTTCAAAAGTTTGCCATGGTTTTAGAATGTAGATTTAGTTTTTTTGACCATAGCAGGGCTTAGAAAGAGATCTCTCGGCTGTAGCCGTTCATCATCATCATCTTCTCCCCTCTGCCTTGTCCTCCCTAGCCTGCTGACACTGATGATTTCTAAGTGAGTATCTCATCCCTCTCGCTCTCTCTCGCCTTCTGTCATAATCACTGCTCTTTATGATCGGTTTGCCCTCTCTGCCCTTTCAAGATGCGGCATGTAATGAGGGCTCTGGAGGGCTGTGTGAGAGGGCTATTTAGCTATTCAGACAAGATCAGCTCACACATCCCACGCTCTCTGATTCGACCGGCTTCCAATACCTCTCAGCCGAGCGAAGTGATCGTTTGTCCCGCTCACAAGGTCACACACTGGATGGAGCTGGAGCGGCTCAAACATTCAAAACCGATGTTGGGCTTTTAGCGTTTACTCACTTCATGACTATCACATGATTCAAATGAGCAATCTGAATATTTAACCTCTATCCCATTGACAAATATTCATTCTGACTGTTTTACACAATTAAATGGCTATAAAACCATTTATGGGGTTGGTTTTCCCAAAGTCGAACACCCCATTAAGAAACATCCACACAGAAACAATTTGCAAACCTCACTGTCAAATGAATGAATCAGTTATTAAAACAATGAATGAATAACTTTTTTAAATTCTACGTAGAGTTATTAAGACACATTAATCAGTAAAACTCAAAATTTACTACAAACGGTTTTGGAAGTAGTCAGATCCTGTACTAGCAATACTACAGTTAATAAATAATCCACCCTGGGGATCAATAATGTCCTATCATAACCTAAAATATGACATGTCCTTTATATGTCCTTTAAATAGAAATGAAAATGTTTGAGTTAATGTCATTACACCACGGCCCACAAACATCATCACAGCATATTATTCAGGCTCTTGAAGTCCATCCTAGATTTTATATTGAGACATTTTCATTGGGCAGAGTCAACTTCAAATTTTAAACGAGTATATCCTAAGTATACACTGCCATACATATGAACATATATGTGTACATAATGCACACAGAACTACTCATCACTTATGGGATTATTCAGACACTTAAATCATCAACAAACCACAAATTATTATACACCATGTATACTCATCAACACCCTACAGCACAACTACAAGCACAACCACCCTTCTTTATCTTAAACCCATTTTTTAATCTTTTTTAGGGAGACAGGGCATCTTTATGGGGAGATAGCACGCCAACAGTATGCCACATATAAGTTCTTTACATTATGTAAAAGCTGGGAACCTGAAGATTAATCTGAGATGCGGCTCAACACTGTGTATCAAGTGTTTCAAGTCATACATCATAAACATTAGGCGCCTATTGAAATGTTGAAAGATTAGACTGAAATACCGCATTATGACTCCAAGACCTTGAGGAACACCTTAGAAAAAGTCATGCTGGGATTTGGTATCACAAACTTTTGACATTTGGAGATTAGGCTACTGGAAGAATTCCATTTTTCCGCGTTTGAATGGCGAGCCGCTCTGTTTTGGAAACTGCTCAGAAACCCCCTTTTTGTCATTATAGGTAAGCCTTATATCATCTGAATGCTGTAGGTGTTTGTAAAGGAAAGTCTAGGTTATTAAGTTTCATGAGGGTGTGATTATCCTAAAGGTCACAACAGGTAATTTTACAATAACATCAAGTTTGTCCCCTTCGGCCCCCTCTCTTAGACTAAAGCACACCCATCTTTGAACTCCCCCTTCATTTTGAACTACACACCAGTAAAGTTACGTGACTGCGTCTTACAAGGTGGCGACACTATTGTGGTGACAAAATCTGTCCACAGAGAGACAGTTAGAAATATAAACCTCTGGCAAAGTACCACTTGTGTGGTAGTTCCTGCAGTAGGTATCTCCAGGACCTCATTTTGCTTTTAATCCAATATGCCACTCACAGATTCACAAGGTATAAACAATATAATTATCGCTGTAGCACCTGGTAAATACACTTTCTGCTCATTCCATCTCCCTAAATGCTGTTTCAATACCTTCTCTTCAATGCCAAAAATACATTTCTGGTGGTAAAATACAAAATCCCTTTATAGAGTCAAATATTTGACTCTATAAAAATATTAGAACCATGTTTATAAAACCACACATGGAATATGAGTGTAATTTCAGAAAGTAAACTCCTCCTCAGGTATATATATATATATATATATATATATATATATATATATATGGGTGAAAAATAAAATACAAACAAATAGAAAAATGTAACATTCAAAGAATAATAGACTGCTTGTAGCTGCAAATAGAAAATAATAATCTTATTTTCTAATTGCAGCATGGACCATGTTTTCAGGGTTTTAGATGTAATTGCATTGTAGCCTGGATTTTCAGATATAAACACTTCTCATTGGATTAAGTAGGCTGACTGTATATTTTAAACTCTACTACTACATTACATTTCAACGGTGCTGTAGTGTACAGCGTGCACACATTTCAAGCCCCGCCCATGTCTTCCCGATGGCCTATGAACGGCTCCGCGTTAACGCACACATGCTCCCGACGTCATATCTCTCTCTTTGGTCTTCCGTGTCAACATGGCGGCTTCCATGGCATCCCAGGCTGCAGCAAGAGGACTGAGAACAGCAACCTCAAAGCACTTACTCCTGGACAAACTCAAGGTACTGTTTGCGGCTCACACTGCCGACGGAGCTGGTTCCACCTCGCACGGGCGGGTTCGGCTGCCTTGTGTCCGTTGTCACCTCCTCGGGGAGCTTGCTCGTGGAGCTACGTGGCTAGCAGGTTAGCGTGTCTGAGCAGAGAGCAGTTTGACAGATCAAAGTTGGAACAGTAGTGAGAGTCCGCCGGCGATGTAACGACACTCTGTCCACCTCGTTACGTCATATAACGACGGCTGTTCTTCCAATTGACACGAGCTTTGCTCTGCACTAATGTTACAAAATGCCAAGTACAACATTCATCTGTCATCTCTTGACATTGGTGTGTGTGTGTGTGTGTGTGTGTGTGTGTGTGTGTGTGTGTGTGTGTTCGCTTGGATATAATACTTCTACATTGGGCTATGTGAGCCTTTTGGTTCATTATTAACAGCACACACGTGTTCTCTTGGTTATAAAGACAGCTATGGAGATATACCTGAACATATAACTACCAGGACAAAGCTCAAAGTTCTCTAACTGCAGATAACACCGCAGTCGAAAGGTTAACTGTTGCACTTTGATCCTCCAAATGTTGTGTTTGCGTGCTGACAACAGCAGCTCGCAGAATTTGTCCTGTTAGGTTTGTCTACGTACACGATGGCGAATGATAATGGTTACATTGTCATCTCTTTGCAAACAAAGCGTTGGGCCTAATGATTGGAAAAACAGAATGAAACAAAACTCCGCATGAGCCACACACAGAATCAGAAATAAAGCCCCCCCCCCGCCTTTTATTGACTAACAAACAAACACACTCTTACTGAGAAGAAAGCGGAGTTGTATTTTCATAATAAATTTCAAAGCTTCAGGAGAACTGATGGATATATCGACATGTTCTGCTACAAGCAACGCCTCAGTGTGATATCTTTCATTCTCAGTCAGTATCCGAGGTTTGGTCTTTATTGGAATTATAAATGTTTGTAACTCTCGTGCAGATGTCCGGATTTAGAGGACAGATTAGAGCAGGAACCTGTTGATACTGTAAACATTGGTCCAGCCAAGTCGGCGCTCACTGTTTGGCACAGTGTTAGCACTACAGTGCAATTTCATACAGTGCTTTTTCTTGTCTTGCTTTGATAATTGGAACAGGTGTTTACATTGAGTGGAATACGTTTGTTTGACAGCTGGTGTGCCTGAAGCACATCTGTTAACATGAAACTCAGGATTGATATTGTGAATACCAATAAATGAAAACATTTCTTCATTCTGATTCCTTCTGGTCAGAATGGGATATCCCTCCCAATAAGGCCACAGTCTACATGGCCATCGGGATGCAGCTCCGACTGATTATTTCTGATATTAAGTAATTTAACACTGAATATCGGAAACAAATGGGAAATGCTTGTAGGAACTTTCCAAACTAGGAACTTCCTTTTTTTTTTTTCTCCGCATACTGAAAGCTACAAATCACTGTTCAGATGACGGAGTGAACGCTGCTCTGAAGGAAAAGGGCGACCCAATTAGGTTGAGAGGTAGTTTCAGGTATCAAATTAAGATATATTAATTTAAATATAAATATCTGTGGAAATTATAAGGACTGTGTAAAAGTTAGTAGTTATGTTGAATTCAGCCAATATTTATGCACTCTCTCTTTAGAACCCACATTAGAAATTAACTTTATTCTTACAAAATTAACATATTGTCACATTAAAACAGAATTACTGTATTATAGCCAAAGTAAATAATAACAAATACCACATGTCTGTATCAAATTTCTGTGATATCAGGCATTATTTTGGAATTGGTGTCTTAATTCTCCCTATCCCCACCCACGTGATGAAATTTCAAAATCCATCTGCTGTATTTATGGGAAATAGCCTTAGTGTCACTGCTGTTTGATTGTGGTTTCTAAATGAAATACTTACTCCACTATACTTCCCCATGCACTCTGCAGCAATCAGGAAGTCTAGTGTTCCCAAAATGTATTGTTTTACTCAGTGGTGTGTGCAGTGTGCCCTTAAACATTTGCAAAATGTGCTAATCTCACATTTACTGGTTGCTGTACCTCTCTTCCATTACTTCTCCCTCTCTCCCCCTCTTGGGCCAGGGGATAAGAGTTCTGATCAGGGATTCTCTGCTTTATAGCACATTATCAGAGCCTGAGCTGATTGACAGCTGGGTATCTCTGCAACAGAATCAAATCCGCTTTAACAGTATGTCAGCTAAGCTGAGGAATTCAATTTGAGATGATTTGTCGACAACAATGCAAAGGACATCGCAATATTCAGATGGCTAGGCTCCAGGATGCTCTTAAAGGGAGAGTGGGATGTTAGGTTTCTCTCTCTCTCTCTCTCTCTCTCTCTCTCTCTCTCTCACAAATCAAATCTCTTGAATTCTTGTCTGCACAGCGAGATAATCCTCTGGCTGTTTTTCACTGTCGCTGCACAGTGGTGAATTTGTAAACGTTTGCTAAGTTTCTACTTTTTCTGTAAGGTGTTCCTGCTTAGCAATAACCCAACAGTGACGAAGCCCAGCATGGTTTGAAGGGAACACACTGGGAAGAGAGGTGGTTCAATGAGACTCGGTCCTGAATATTTTACAGAGGATGGGCGGGGGGGGGGCCTCCGCTTGTGACGACTTCTTTTGCTGGAACTTCAAACGACGGGCGGCTTCCCCATCTGTCTCAGCAGGAACACATTTACATTTCCTCCCCGCAAGGAATACTGGAGGACGAAGTTGGCTCTAACTGGATTTGGATATTGCTCCACCAAGGTTAATAGCCATTTCTGTAGCTGGTGAGGTGCTTAGACTTTTTCAATAATTTAGAAGGGCTGCAGTCATTAGGAAACGTTGGCAGCCTCTGAAACGGGGAATGCGATGAGTGAATGCACTACCTATTAGCTTAACTTCTGCTGTTGTTCGAGCGCCGATAATGAGGGAGATGTGGGAGTGATGCTGGAAATGAGTTGGGGGGGGGGGGGGGGGGGGGGGGGGGGTGTGGGAGGGGGGGTGGGGGGGGGGGGGGATGTCAGTGATTGCTGACAGCTGTAATTCATTAAAAGTGCAGTATGTTGAAGATTATGTTCATCCATTCTGGCCCATCCATCATCTTTTGAAATTAGGCCTTCAAACATATCGTAAGTGTGATTTGGATTTCATAATTGAGTTTGCCTGGGGCAGCTTCCTGTGAAATTTTTTTTTTTTCTTAAGGAGCCCTGAGTTTTGTGTCGTAAAAACAGTGATGGCAGTGTTACAGTGTAAATGTGTCACAGGGCAACATCGCTGCTGCTGGTGGGAATAAAGACATTAATAAAGAAGCTACTCTTAAAGTAGTACATTGCTTGTAGTAGTACTGTTGTAGTACTCTACTGATGCAGCCCCAGAGACTTTGTCTGGATCTCAAGGCACTGGATAACCCTCTTGCAGCGCCAACAGTTGCTAATGTTGTGTTAGCCGATCACAAATGTGGCTCCGGGGTATATTCCTGCAACCAAGGTCGTGCATGTGGACTTGGATGTAGATAGGGGTGAACTTTGACGCAGCTGCACATCCTTGTATGGCCTTCTCCTCATTACTGCGTTATCTACCCCCTTTTGACTCGACACCTTTGAATGTGACTCTGTACGCCCTGTCTTATTAACTATGCTAATTACTGAAATCCCTATCTGTAGAGACACAACAGTCAGGTTTTCCTTTCTTAAGCCTGTCTGCAGGAGATTAGACCTGCCCTGCCTAAAGACCTGCCAATGATGCAAATCTGTCTCACTGATCTAAATCCTGGAGCCACGCTCTGCTGCTCCCGCCTCCGTCTCTGCAGCTCTGTTCTATTACCGGCTCTCTTAACAGGCACATGTCATTTTTCTCTCCGTGCTCCAATGGTCTGGGCACGACCTTAGCTTTGAAGAGGCAAGGACATAGATTGGTGTTGCCCAAAATATAGATTTAGTACATATCGATTCTGAATATGCGAAACTCCCTCACTCACAGTGCTGTCTTCTCGTCACTCATCCCATTGGCACCGGTTGTATACAATCATTTGCTGGTTGGCGTTTGATAGCATTCAGTGTTTCCCATTAATTACCTTGATAGTGTCGGCCCACCACAGTTTCATAATGAACCGGAAATATTTCCACACCTTGGTGGACTTTGTGATCGCTGCGCCTTCTCTCCCTGTGGGGAGGGACGGGGCTCCCTGCTCTGTTAGGACGACCAGATCATTTGTCGTTGTCTATTTTTTTTTTCTGAACAGTGTGTTTCTCGCGGAGAAATTAGGTGGCGCGACATCCCCCCAAATCTCTAGGTGAGACGCCCGCGGTGCTCAAGGTGGTCCAGATATAAAATACTACGCTGTGTATTTTCAAGCTCTTCATGTGGGTTAAGATGTAAAAGGTAACATCCGCTTTTGGTTCCGTCGGAGATGTAAATTCTTTCAGGCGTGATGTTATTCTCAGTTTGGCTGCGGCCAAAGAGGTGAAATAATCTTTGAAATGATAAAACCACAGTGAATTTGTGGATGTTTTTCCCCAAATATTCTTTATTGCAGAGGTTCAGGCTGTTACTACTGACTGAATCACTTTACATGTACATTATGGGCATACTCCTCCCAAAACATATTTAGATCTATATCTCATTCTCATTCTTAGTTGGAGCCGATAAACATCTGTTTTTTTGTTTCTTAAGATATGTTCCCTTACGTTGCCAAAAGAGTGAGAAGAGGTAGAATCATGTTTTGATTCAGTATTCTCTTTTATTGTTGAATAAAAAGAAATACAGAGGTACAAATTTTAGGTCATATCGCACACCCCTAGGTTATGAATGAATTGATTACTAAAGCACAGAGTTCTTTGTAGATCTTGCCTCAAGTGCACCAGATTGATGCATTAAACTTTAAAGTGCTACAAAATGTTTCTTCCGGGGGAGCATCCACCCTCCACAGTCTCCCAAAAATCCTGAGGGAAACACTGGCTTTATTATAGTAAGCCTACTGATCTTTTAATGAAATTCTAAAATTGAATATTGATATC